CCGCCCCGCCCCGGGCTGCCGCGGGCCACTCCTGAGCCAAGACAACTTGCGGGACAATGTGGGGGGGCTCCAAGCCCCATTTCGCAGCAGCTGCGGGTTCTGAATTCTAGGAATAATTTAAAATGAAGTCTCCACGCAAGTGTGTGAACACTGAGATTTCACCAAGCGGTGACGCCAGGCGGCTATCGACTCACCCGGGATCTGCAGGCTTAAGGCGGCTGAGGAGTCTGCGTTCTGTGCTTCTTTCTTCATGCTGAACAGGAGAGACTTCAAGCCACTGTTCTCCTCCGAAGATCTGTCGAGCTGTTGCCTCAAGTCGTCCTGAGGACACAGAGCCACACGCTTGCTTTACAAAGACAGGTCAAAGTCAGTACGACGCGTACGGAGAAAATTAAATGAAACCCTGGAAAGTCAGCTATCGGTTTCTTGTCACGCAACGCAACTGCTGAATCGCCACGTGAACAGCAGCGTCATGTGTCCCTCGAGGATGGGGATAGAGTCTGAAAAACGTGTCGTGAAGGTGATTTCGTCGTGCGCGAACATGCCGAGTGCACGGACGCACGGCACGACGGTCCTGAGTACGCAGGCACGTGTAACGCCTGGAAGCGCCCGCGCATCCGCACGGAGGAAGGGCTCAGCATGAACACGGCGGGAATGGTGAAAAACGGCGCTGTGCGGGGCGCTGGCCAGGAGCGCGGCTGGGGGTGCCCTGGGCGAGTCCGTGGGAGACTGCGGAGTGGATGTGACAGGCCAGGACACGGCTGCCCGCTCCTGTAGACGGTAACACTGGACACTGAGGCTACACTGTATTCACTTACAGGTTTCTCCTTTTTTCAATAATAAATTAAGCTTAGCTAACAGTAACTTTTCAGTTTATAAACTTTCACGTTTTTTAACATTTCAACTCTTTAACAACAACACAGTTTAAGACTAAGACAAACTGCAGGCTCCACCTACACAGCGCAAGTCATCCGCATCACCGTCATCCATCTCCACTTCCTGTCCTGCCCACGGGAGGATCTCAGGGGCGGTAAGGTATGCAGCTGTCACCTCCTGTGAGGGCGATGCCTTCGGGAACACGCCCTGAAGCACTGCCCGAGGCCCTTCCCGAGGACGTGTCACTTTTCAGAAACAGGTCCATGGTGGTTCGCGTGGTCTCTTCCATCGCAGATTTGCTCGTGAGCAGATAAAGCGCCATGAGCGTTCTCTCCATTAATGAAAACCTCGGTGGTGGGGCCCCTGCTTTCAAAGGTGCTAGGGAGCTGGCTGAGGTCTGCTCTGGGGAAGACAGTCAGTAACAGGCATTTTCAGACCCTTGTTTCCCAGCCATCCTTGGTGACTTTCGCTCTCATTTTACACTGTGGTGACCTCATGCCTAGAAGGTGTGGCAGGAGCTGCTCAGAGGGGCCACGGGGGCTGCCGGCTCCTCTGGAGAGGAGGCCCCAAGCACGGCCTTCCACCTGGGCCCTCGCTCGCCCATGAGGGAGTCTGGGGAGGTGGTATCTCGTTGTGTTAGTTTAATTTGCATTTTCCTGATGATTAGTGATGTTGAACATCTTTTCAAATACCTGTTGGCCCTAAGTATGTTCTCTTTGGAAAAATGTTTATTCGGCCCTCTGCCCGTTTTTGAGGGTTGCTTTTTTGGCTGTGGAACTGGGAGTTCTGTATTTCCTCTGGATGTTCCCAGTTACATGGTTTGCAGATATTTTCTCCCATTTCGTAGGCTGCCTTTTCATTCTGCTGGTTTCTTTTACTGTGGGAACTTTTTGGTTTGAAATAGTCCTATCAGCTAATTTTTACCTTTGTCCTACGTGATTTTGGTATCATGTCCCAAAAATCACTGCCAATTTTAGGTCAAGGAGCTTTTTCCTGTTTTCTTCTAGGAGTTTTATAATTTCCAGTCTTACATTTAATCTCTCATCCGTTTCCAGTTAGTTTTTGTGTATGCTGGAAAACGGGTCTGGTCATTCCTTTGCATGTGGCTCATCCAGTGTTCCCAGCACTACTGAAGAGGTGATCCCCTCCCCACTGTGAACGCCTGGTGTCCCTGTGGGAAATCAGCTGGCCGCACTGGGGTCTGCTTCCTCCTGGCTCTCCACTCCGCCCCCCTGCTGTGTCCGTTTTTACGCCAGCGCCATACGTGATGCTTTCGTGATGAAAGCTCTGTAGTGTCACTTGAAACGGGAAGTGTGACGCCAGAACTCTGTTATTCCTCAAGGTTGCGTTCGGGTCTTTTGTGGAAAACACAGATTATAAGAAAAATAATTACACAGATTTTAGAATTTTTTTTTCTATTTCTGTGAAAAACACCCTTGGAATTTCTATCGGAACTGTGTGGACGCTGCGGGCCGATTAGGGAGGCACGGACGTTCTGACCTCGCCCTCCCAGCCTGTGGCACGGGGCGGCCACCACCTGTGTGTCATCGTGTCTCCTTCATCAGCGTCTCACGGTTCCCAGGGTGAAGCTCTTTAAACTCCTTGGTTAAATTTATTCCTAACATTTGATTCTTTTTGATGCTATCATAAATGGGATTATTTCCTTGGGTTTCCTTTCCAGATAAATTGTTGATATAAAGTAAAGCAACTGATTTTGTTATGTTGATTTTATGCCCTGCAACCTCTGCTGAATGTGTTAGTTTTAACAGATTTTGTTTTTTTGTGTGGAACCTTCAGGTTCTTCTACGTATGTGACCATGTCATCTGCAAACGCAATTTTACTTCTTTTCTGATCTGGGTGATTTTTATTTCCTTCCCTCGTCTCTTGCTCTTGCTGGCACTCCCAGTACTTGGCTGCACAGAAGCAGTGAGACTGGGCACCCTCGCCTTGTACTGGGTCTTAGAGGAAAAGCCTTTAAGCTAACATCCCTCCCACTGATCGTGATGTTAGCTGTGGCTTTACACAAATGGCTTTTATTGCCTGAAGGAAATTTCCTTTTATTCCAATTTGTTGAGTTTCTTTTATCGTGAACGGACACTGAACTTTGTCAGGTGCTTTTACTGCATCTATTGAGACGACTATGTGGTTGTCTTTCCGTCTGTTAATGTGCTGTATTAACTTGCAGTGTTGAACCAACCTTGCATTCCAGAGGAAAACCCTACTTGGTCATGGCATGTAATCTTGATGCGTTGTTCAACTGGGTTTGCTAATATTTCATTGAGGATTTTTACATCTGTGTTCATCAGAGATACTGGCCTCTAGTTTTCTTTCTTGTGTCTCTGTCTGGCTTTGGTATCAGGTGACGCTGCTTCATAAAATGAGTTTGAAAGTGTTCCCTCTATTATTTTTTCAAGAATTTAAAAAGGACCAATATTAACTCTGACTGGTAGAACTCAGCCATGAAGCCACCTGGTCCTGGGCTTTTATTTTTGGGGTGCTTTTCGATTACTGCTCAGTCTCATTTGTTACTGGCCTGTTCAGGCATTCTTTCTTCTTGATACAGTCCTGGTAGGTGGTGTGTTTCTAGGAACTTATCCATTTCTTCGGAGTTATCCGATGTGTCCCTATGTGATCACTCATAATGGACCCTCAC